TGAGTGCAAATATTCAATTACAATGCTTTGTCATATGTTGGATTATGTGACATATTTCAGATTTCGAAAGTTTCACATTTCATTTGAATTCTCATCGAAATACTTTCAAAGTATGATTTTACATGATGAGGAAATCGGTTTCAGATACAATAAAAGCCATGCTCGTTTATTATGAGCAGGAGAAGATTTCACACTGGTCTTATGCTGATCCATTTATTTCAACAGAATAACATCAGTATTGAAGATATGACCTATTCAGATCGTCTTTCGTTTGCTCTGACGGAAAAAAGCTTTAACGCATTTCAAGAAATAATTAAAAATGATTCTCGCATTGACGATATCCCATGTACAAAAAAAAGTTTCTTGAATAATTACTATTAATCAATTACAACTCAATTATAATCATAAAACGATTTTAATCAATAATTTAAGCAGAAATAATTATTGATTAAAATCATTTTATGATTGTAATTGATATTTTATAGATTATTAATAATTATTCAAGAAACTTTTTCTAACTGGGTCTGAGCGTCATTTCGTGAGCGGTAATTTCAATGACTCTTATCTGCTTTAAGTTTTAGAAAATGTTTGTCTTTGATAAGTACATTGCCAGTTCATCTATCGTTTATTGAAGTACCACTCAAAACAATATAGTGTTTTCAGGACAACAATAGAGTAGTACTAAACAAATACTTTCCATACATAAGTAGCATCATTTGTTTCGTCGCTCTCTCTCTCGACACAAATTGTTGCGCATTGTCCTCATTTTTATAAAAACACAACTATCGATCATAACAGCTTTGATAATTCAACTGTTCGATTTTTTGAAACGTTTATGAACGTGCAAGTCTATAACATCTTACACTCAGTGTAACTATGATATACAGTAGATATTTTTCCGTTATATTTAGTCCACTTTGTATACATCGGCATCAGATCGATTCTCAATCTACACAACGTCATTTTTTTAGTGAAATAAACATCCTTTGTGAAATATTTTTTCATCGGTAAACATTATTCTCACTTGATAATTCGACTACTAATTTTTTAGCCGTTGGCCATTATCCGTAAATTTTTCAAGGAATGTTGGAATGAAGCCTCTTTTTTCACCAAAATGATGAGTCTTTTTGTACCATCATTTCTTGATTTTATTGAACCGAATCGTTAATATCGATATAGTAAACAATCAATTATCTTTTGCTGACTCAGACAAAAATCCTACAGTTGGATTCTGATGGGATCATGTTGAATTTAATAATTGCAAAAAAGCAAAACTAGATATTTTAATACTATTGAATTTAGTTAGATTTAACAAGTTCTGTTGTTGGATATAATCGGATATTTCTGGATCTGACAGAGTGACTTCGATTAGAGGAGCCATCTTTACCTTTTAGTTTTGCCATATTCTGAGCATTTTTCGATTTTCATACTGAACAATAAAAAAAAACCTCATACGGTTTCTGACTTTTAATCATCTCAAAATCAACGGAAAAAAAAGTAAAAAATGATTATTCTATTAGAATGACAGAGAGAGCGCCAGTCTCTAATAAAATAATATCAAAATAAACTGGTTATGTCAACAAACGAAAATTAAAGTGTAACCATTCAAAGTATTGCAAAACGTTGGCATGATTCGGTATTCCAAAAATACAAATATTCTTGATGTTGATTACTTGGTAGAATTTTTTTATTTTTTTTTATTTTCTTAGATGAAAGATGTCATGACAGCAGATAATTGTTAATTGACATTAAATAATGTTTTAATACAAATAGGTTTTTATACCATCAAAGTACTACATTTAAAATAAAATAATCTAAGTTGATTTGTTCATATAAACATGAACGTAAAATATAAAACTAGTTAAAGGTAAATATACTAATACATATAAGAAAAAAAACACACACACCGGAAGCAATGAGTTTTACGTACTATAGAAAAAGGCATATTGTTGGTTTTTGTTTTTGGAAAAAGAAAATATTGAAAAAATGGAGAAGGAAATGAGAACTATTTCCATTCACGTAAAAATGACATATGAAATGTACGAAATTTTTCAACCATATCTTTCATTTGATCAATCGGTGGTAAAATTGTTGTACGAAAATGATGTGTTCCTGGTCGTTGCTTAAAACCACTACCTGGTACAACACATATTCCTGTTTTTTCTAATAATTGAAAACAATAAAAAGCATCTGGAGCCATATTTTTCGATTTAGCATGTTCAATTGCCTTTTTAGGGATTTCAATACGTGGAAATGCATACATTGCTCTAAAAGAATAAAATTTATTTTAAGTGAAAAACAAAAATCTTTTTATTAACTAACCCCATAACAGCATTACATTGTACACCTTCAACTGAGTTAAATAATCGACTAACAAGATCAGCTTTTTCTTTTAATCGATTAAAAACTGTTAAACGTTCTTGTTTATAAAGTTCATAGGATGGTTCTCCTTCTTTTGGTGGATTTATAATTGCTGCCATAACAGCTTGACCCCAAGCTGTCGAACATAGACATGCTGATATGAGTTTATTAACTTGTACTTTGACATCTTTATCAACATTTATTAATTCGTAATAACCACCACGAGAACCACATCTGAAAATACAAAAATATATGTATTTTTCTCTATTAAAAATAAATGAAATGTAAACTTACTCTCCATGCCAACCTTTTGACGCTGAATGAAATGAAGCTGAAAGAGAAAAAACAAGCGAAATTTGAGACAGAAACAGAAAAAAAAGAAAATTTAATACCCATTTCCATTTGATTATATGGTGTACCAAGGTCCATAAGCGCTTTTTTAAATGAAAAAAATTTTGAACCTGGTAAATAAACATTTTCTTGATAAACTTCATCAGCCAAAAGAAATAATTGATGTTTATGAGCTAAAATGAAATAAAAACAAGAATAATTATTCATCAATTAAAAATAAAAAATAAAACAACGATTACCAAAACGAATAACATTTTCAATATTTTCACGTGAAAGTACTTGACCTAATCAAGATTAAAAAAACAAAACAAACTTGAAATCAAATTTAATAGATTTACATCATTTTACCAGTAGGATTTCCAGGATTAATGATTACAATACCACGTGGTACACATCGATCTTTTGATTCATTTAATGCACGTTCAAGTTCATCTATATTCAATGCCCAATTATTATCTTCATCAAGATAATATTCAATTTGATGAGCTCCATATTCTGATAAAGTAGCACTATATAATGGATATTGTGGAACAGGAATCATCTATTAATTAAATAACACAAATCATTTCATTTTTATTGCTCAATTTCAGACTACGCTATTGCAACTCGTAGATATGAATTGTCTGTCAAGTTTTATGAGACAGTTTTTCTCAGTCACTTCCACATTTTAACAACTGTCACGGTCTCTCCTGGGTACGAATACGAAAGATTGTACATTCACACAATATTCTATTTTCGACTTACAATTCCTGATGGTTTTTTTGGATTATTATTCATTAGAAGTTTAATTATAGTTTTAATTCCATCTGAAGCTCCATTACAAAGATAAATATTATTTGAATCTGATGGATAACCATCTCGTTGTTGAATATAATTTGCAATATCTTCACGTATTGTTATAATACCTTGACTTTCAGTATATGAACCAAGACTTTTACCACCACATACAGATAATAAACGTTCAACACGATTTTTTATATCGGATGGAAAATTAGATGATTTCAGTAATTCAGGATAAGTACAACCAGCTACGAACTAGAAATATAAGAAAATTATTGTTTCAAAATAAAACTAATCGTAATACGAACTTGTCGAATATATGTAATTGGAACTTGATTACCACTAGCATGACAATCACCAATATTAGCTCGAATAACACGATCAAATGGAAAGTTATGTTTACCCTAAAAAAAAATCAATACTAATAATACTCTAATTAAAATAATATTAAAACCGATTTAATTTCTTGTTCAATATTTGCAGCCCGAATAACAATTGGACCTCGAACAGCGTATTCGACATCAATTACACGTGGATTTAAATTTTCCATTGTTAGAATTTTTTTATATTCCATCCTAGTAGATTTGATGGTATGCTTCGATCAATAAACGAATAGTAATTCTCGTCGAAACAAAAGGTATTAAAAGATAATTTGTTTATGATGTATCTTTTTATTCTTTTTTTCTCTTTCTCTATGACCTTTTTCGTATTTACATTTAACAGTTGCTTTTACATGTGTGATAGTCAACCTTACAACAGGTACTCGTTATACCTTCATACCAAGTGAGTAATCGAAGTAGCATACTGCCTTTTTTTTTCTTTGCTCAGAATGTAAATAAAATCATGTTATTCAAATGGAAACATACATGTATACATATTTATTTTTAAAATGTGACGATGAAAACTAAACAAAAAATAACTCATTACCTTTAATTGTTTTTCAATCTCTCCCGCGCGAATAACAATTGGACCTATAATTTTAAAATAATACAAATTAGTGATTGAATTCAGCAAAATTTAACAAAAATAAATAACTATGTTTACCTCTGACAGCATATTCAACTTCTTTAACAAGTGGATTAAGTGTTTCTATTGTTAAAGATGAATGTCGTTTTTGTTCTCTTCTTCTTATTACACCAGCAGTAGCCAAAATTCGAGATGAATTCAATGGTAATCGACATTTTATTGCTAGCATGTCTATTATTTAAATCTACAGAAAAAAAAACAGACTTGTACAGTAAAATAACGATCATCATATTGAATATGAGAGAAAAACAAATAATTACATATATATATACAACAAATGGGTGTGTATGACTCTCGCGTATTGCATGAGGATATTCTCTTCTACTTGATCAATCATTGTATACATAGAGGTCGCAACTTAATATTACTCAATCATGATGATTGTTGTTTCCATAGTAACAATAAAATTTATGGCTATTATCGATAATCAGATATAATATCTTGATCAGATAATAAATCTCAAAATTCTTTTTTTTAAAACTATGTCAAAAACTACAAATGGAAGAAGCCGAACGAACTCAGCACGACAATCTTATGTTGAACAAGTATCGTATAATCAACATAGAAAAAAACAATCTTTTACACGTTTACATTCATATGATGATACTGATATTGCTTATCGAAGTGCACCTGAATATTTAAAACAATTAATGAATACATCAACATTATCAAATGGACATTCAGCTAGAAGTATAACACGTACACAAAGTGCTAGTGATATGACATCACCTAATAATTGTAAAAAAAAACAAAGAATTTGTCATTCAAAAATGAAAAATTGTTTGATAATTTCTTTTTTTGTTCTAGTCAATCGACCAGCTAGTGGAAATCCGAAATATAAAACACAAGAAGAATATTATGATGAAATTCAAGTTTTAAAAAAAGTTTTATTAATTTAAATTACATAGATTTATATATTATTTCATTTTCTTTTTTATATATAGGAATTAAAATATACAAAAGATGATAATAGTAATTTACGTGCGAGAATTCGACGTTTAGAAGAAGATAATGTACGCAAACGTAAAGAAATTGATAACTTTTATGATACGAAGAAGGTATTATTTGTTTTGATATCTATAATAGAAAATTATTTGAATCTTCTTTTTTTTTTTACTTTTAGAAGGATAGTGATACGCGACGAACATTAACTAGTTCTTCTAATTCGAATGCTGTAAGTTCAATTTTAATTTAAATGACGAAAAGATATATATATATATGGATTTTAGAATGCTGTTATGAATTTAAAACAACGTTTATTTAAATTAGAATCACAATTGAAACAAAAAGAAACTATAATTGAGTATGTTAAAAAAGATTAATTGATATGCAAAAAAACAATGATTTTTATATTTGTAGTGAAATGAAAAGTGATCCACGATGGACAAAAAGTACAGAATTAGAAATACAAAATCGTGCTTTATTTAATGAACTTGAAAAACAAAAATTAGAAAAATTAAATCTCATACAACAGTAATATAAATCATTTTTTGTTTTTGTTTGCAATCAATTAAATTTTATTTTTCAAAGTGATTATATGGCTTCAATTGATGAAGAAAAAAAGAATGCCATACGAAAATTAGAAGCTGAAAAAAGAGAATTAAAAATAGAAAATGATAATTTAAAGAAAAAACTTCATGAAATGGAAAAATTAGGTTTGACATTTTTTAAGAAGTTATAGATAATTTAATTGATTATTTGTTTTTCAAACTTTTAGAACGTGATGAACTATTATCATCACGTCAACGTGTAAGTATGCAATATCAAATCGTATGAAACTTTCAACATTGATAGATCATATCGACCTAGTTTTATCTAGAATAGCAAATTTTGATATTTTTATTAATGAACAAATAAAAATGGAGGATAGTGCATAGTAGAGTGGTATATGTAGTCACACGAATGACGACTCACGGAGAAACCTATTCAGCTGCCTCCTTCGAATTTCAATGTTTTTTTTTTTTCTAAAGGCTTCAGGTTTCGGAAAACTCGTATTTTTGGAATTTCGATGTAAAACACTGTGCATATAAAGAGTTTAACTACACTAACTTTTATTTAAAAAAAAGGTGTAGAAGTTTAAAGTGAAGTCTTTTCAACATATACAAAGGTTCAGATTAAAAATCGAAAATACAAGTTTTCTGAAAATCTGATGTCTCTTGAAAAAAAAATTCAATAGCTTAGTCAAATCTCAATAGAAACTCAGTTTTTAATTAGAACACTATGTAGTTTCTATAGGTAAAAAATCATTGAAGTCGGAAGGAAGCAACTGAACAGGTTCTGTAATAAGTCGAAATCGTACATAGAAAGTTTTTAACTATGTATATGTTATGTACTTTCAAAAGACTGCATTATGAAACTATTGTCCTCAACGTCCTAATTTTTCTATTGTGTTATAAGCACACGAATCCTGTCACATATTATTTGATTCGATTAGTTTAGTCTACTAACTCTAAACGTTTGACAAGATTATGAAATACATGGATTTGACAACTCGAACTATTGGAAATAATTTATCGTCCTCTTTTAAGCTGATTATGATTTTCTATCAACGTATGTAATGTGATTTAAAAGAACTTGCTATATTATATTCATATTATACTAATCATGTTCATAATGTTAGTAGAAATTTCTCAAATCTTACAAATGATTTCTCCTTAAATAATACGCTTCGAAAAATACTTTTTGAAATATATACGTATATATATATATCTTCTTTTTTCTTTGATTCATAGGATGGTAGTACTGATAGAGATTTACATCGAAAAATTGAAGGCTTGAAAAACACATGTAGGAATTATCAAGATGAACTTGATCAAATGAAAAATGAACTTAAACAAATGCGACATGAACGTGATAAATATCGTGATAAATTCGATAGTGTTAATGATGATCTTGAAAAAATAAAATATGAACGTGATCAATATCGTAAAAAATTCGATCGAGTTAATAATGATTTAGATGAAATACAATCGGATCGCTTTCAACAAACAAAATCGAATCTAATGGATCGTTCATCAAGTATTGTTTCACATCGAGAATCAAGTTCATCTGAAGAACTCATTAAAAAAGGTTCAAGGTAAATTTTAAAAAAAAATACTACAAATAGAATTTAATAATACATTGTTTATTCTTTAGATCTAGTACGCCTTTACAAAAATCCAAGGAATATATTGGTGCACGTTCATCATTGACTAAATTTGATCGTAATACACCATCACCATCGATTACAAGAAGAATAACATCTCGAAATTATCGTCGTGATGATTGGAATAGGTAAAATAGAATTATTAGAAATTCTCTTATGCTAAATTTATTTATTTTCTCTAGTGATGATGAAAATCATCTTAAAAATTTTCGAGAAAAACATGCAGCAACTGTTATTCAACGAGGTTGGCGTGAACATAAGAAATCACATAGAAGTTCATTTTTATCTAAAACAAGACAGCACACTTTTGATAAAGTAGATTGATGTTTCTTGCATTTGATATTATTTAGTTTTTTCTTCTTCATTTTAGCGGAATTCAAAAATTGGTGGAATAGTAAGTCATTTAACAATATGAGTTGATCTTTCGTTTTTAAAGCATTCGAAAAGAAGAAAGAATATACTTCACTTTTCGGCTACCCAGTCGATTATTGCCCATGCTGATTTTGAATAGGACTATGAGAAATACCTCGTAGACCTTTATATGGTTGTTTTCTAGACTAACAAACTATTTGCCGAAATCGTTTTGGATCTATTCAGGTTACCGAGCACATCGAGTTGTCGATGAGTCAATAATGTTTTCTATTTTTCAAGAATGAACTTTAAATAAAATAATATTATCTTGAAGATTTTCACATTGAAATGTTGTAATAGAAAAAATTCATTTTTTTTTAAACGATTTGATATCTTCTATAATTTGGACAGATCCAAATAAAATTTTGGCGAAAAGTTTGATAATCAACCAGCGTTCTATGCAAAAGCGATTAATCAATTAAAAAAGTTCCTTCATCAAGTTTCTCATCCGCACTGTCTAATCACGTACTGCATAGTCACAAGGTCAAATGTATCTCAATATATAGTCAGTGTGCTATCGAACAGATTAGTGACTTATTCCGGATCATTCCATGACTTGTGACATTGAGGTTCTAACAGAGTACCTTATAGATACTTGTCGAGCAATGTAGCTATCCACGAAGGAACCTCATCAAATGGCAATTCGCTTTTCGGTAGAGACGACGTTTATTTAATGATTGTTGGAGAGCCATATATATTTATATGAACAAACTACCTCAGGATATTGGAAAAGTTATAAATTGCCCAACGAACTAATCTTGTCTCATCAAAGGAACATCATCTCGATTGAAAAGCGATTTGACAAGTAAAGAAGCTCTCCCATCAGTCGTAGCCGTCTATACTGAAAAGAAACGAAGATTTTGAAATTTATCATTCAATACATTTGTACTTCGAGTAAAAAATATCTAGAAACAATATTGCGATCATATGTGAAAATAATTTGACACTCATAAACATTTTTAATAATCATTATTTGAATAGAAATCATCAGAAACACAATCGCCACGTACCAGTCAACAAAAATTAGGTTCAAAAATAGATAATCTTGATAGTAGTTATATCAAAAATCGACCTACATCAGCTAACATTTCCAATGAAGTAAGAACTTTCATGTAAAAATTATAATTACAATTGTTAAAATTAAAAGACTGCTTTAAAAATTGTGCAAGCATCATTACGTGGATATGTCAATCGAAATGAAATAGATAAAACTTTTCGACCAGAAAAATTACATCGTGTTGAAAGTGATGATGATGATGATATTATTGGAAACCTATCAAAACAATTTGGATCACAATATGGAAGGTAAGAAATTTAATTAAAACTATACAGTTCATTTTATAATAAACTTTATTTAAGTGACAAAAAACGAGAGAATTTCTATAGAGATTCAAAACAAAATTTTGCAGATCGTAGTGGTTTGCATAATGGTAAGCAATATTTATAAAATTTTGATTAATATAATTAGATATATTATATTGATTTATATAGATAAAATTGGATCTAACAGTCGTTTACCAACAAGTAATCGAGATTCTACTTCGAACTTTGTAAGTCATGAATGAAACAAAAGTTCTGCATTAATTTTGTTTTTGATATAGAATTACAATGTAATATCGTAGAGACTTGCTTCTCTTCTATTTTTTTTTTGTTGGAAAAAGTAATGTCTCTAGTCTAAATATATATAAAAGAATTTGATTGAAAATGTTTCCTAAAGACGATAAAAAAAATCTTAGAACAAAAAGTATCACGAAACTCCTTAGCATCTTTCTTCTTTGAATTTAACTTCGTACCATAAGAAAAATGTTATTATAGCATCTTCTGATATCACCGATTTTTTCGTGTTAGTTTAATCACCGTCAAAAACGAAAGTCTTCCATGTAGTTCGAACCGGACAAAAACTATCAGTAAACCACTCAGTATAATCTACGACATGGACTACACTGAAAAGAGAGTTACTAGAAGATATATATACTTTTTATATGAGAAAGGAACCTTACTGAATCCTTTAGAAAATGATATTATTTGAAATAAAACACAACTACTTACGTTAGTCTCCCAAACAAAGCATTGTGGATTTGGAAGTCTATAAGGATTTATAGATTCTCTCGACTTAAAATCGTTCAAAGTTCTGTGAAACCAAAAAGAAATCCATGAAATTGCACAAAATCTCAGAACTACTGCTGAAACTCTAGCCTTACAAAAAACTAGACATTCAGTTTTATTAGATCTATATTACAATGTTGGGTCATAAGATTATTCATAAGGTTTTGGATCACTTTACACGACGCTGCTATTTCAGAATTTTATCGTATTGGTTGAAGCCTGATGTAGTCCATTGATTTTCTTGGATGTATGTACTCTATTCTAAACTTTTACGAGCAAACTCAAACTTTTTTTCGTATATCCAAAAACTCCATAATCAAAGGGTTAAGGTAACTTATCGAAAGATTGTCCATACTAATTTTGTTTTTATATATTTTTGCACTAGACATTTTACTCTTTCTAATGAAAAAAAGAATCAAGTTTTAAGCCATCCGTTATATATGACTATTGAATTATTTTCTTTTTTAGCGTCGACCACTTTCACCATCTTCTGATAATTATCGACCATCATCACCAAATATGAGTAGTAGAAGTAATTCTAAACAATTTCTCCCTAATGATCAAAGTTTGTATTCGTTTCTGATTAAGAAGACTCAACAAACGATGTTTATTTCTTCATTTAGATAAATTTGGATTTGACAATCGAAACAATCGTGAATCATTTTTGAAATTCGTAAGAACATCAAAAACTTTTTTTTTTCAAATAATTTCTTAATATTTTTCTATAAAATTTCTAGCAACGATCATCTTCACCTTTAAATGATTACCGATTATCTCAACGTACAACATCACCGGAAGATATTCGACCATCATCTCGTCAAAGTAATATGTCATTAACAAAAAGTCCAATACATTCAAAACAATCGCTTAAAAATACTTATAATAAGAATAATGATGATGGCAATGTTTCAGATTTTTAATATTTTTATTTGTATACATTGTCAAAAACAAACCAATTACACAAAATAGACAGTCTATTTCATTCAATGCATTTGAATTAAAATTTATAACGCCAATCAGTTGCATAAGGATATGATGTATAATAATCTAAAAAAGACAAAATAGGTTTCTTTTCTTTTTTTTTTTTAAATTTTTGTTTATTTATGTTAATCTTACCTGATGGATGAGGTGGTATGGGAAAATTTGTTGGCGGTGGTGGTGGTGGTGGTGGATATGATGATGAACAAAAAGGTTCATTTGTTTCTAAAAGTAAAAATTTTCTCATAAAAAGATAGAAATAAAATTTTATCTTACGTGATGTTGCTGCTGTTGTCATATCAAAATCATTTTTTATTAATGTTTGTGTTGAATTTGATGTTGGAATAAATTCATTTGAATTATAACTAAGATAATTATTTGATGAATATATAGCATGCCATTTAGCACGACGTTGATCAATATAAGCCTTAATAAGAGAATGACTTTTATAATAAAAATCAAACAGAACAAAAATACGGAACTGAAGATTCGAGTTCAAAGTTTTATTTATTATTGGATACAGGTTTCTCAAAAACGTGGTTACGTAGCTCCCTACTTTCTTGATCTCATTTACCTAAATACAACTAAAATTATCACATACAGCTGAAGATTTTGGTGTTACTGTTAGTTTAAAGAATTTTGTTTATCAATCAACTGTTTAGTTTTCCTTTTTTTTTTTTTTACTAATATAATGCTCTTTTCAACAAAGCGAAAACTTTTTATTTATGAAGCATCGAGTAATACGGAACATGACGAGCAAAAACTAACTGAAATCTCGATCCTTTACTTGTTTACGTACACAACGGGTAGCAGATATTGATGGAAAAAAGAACTCGGATCTCTCTAGCGCGGGAGGGGAGGTTTCGTCATGTTCCTGAAAAAGAAAAGAATTGTTTTTTTTTCTCCTTACTTTAATAATCGATTCAGCAAGACCTGTTTGTTTAACAATTACTTCAATTTGTGCATTATCAGCCCATGGATTATCTTTAAAAAATTTATCCAAAAAATCGATTTGTTCATTTGAAAAATGTTTTTGATCCAAGAGATCTAAAGAAACTGAATTAAGTTCACATATGATCACAAAATAAGTGTCATTATATTCTTATTCCATCGAGAATTCAAACTTGACAGTAAGACTAATGGTATGTCTGAATAGACAATGACAGAAGAAAAAAAAAACGAAGAAGAGAAATCTCTTACCATTATGATGGTTTGTACGAGATGATGAACGTTGTTTTATTGTTGAATATTCATATTGAGAATGATTAAGTAAACTATGAATACTATAAACATTTGGTGATGATGATGATGATACACTTATTTGATGACTTCGACTATCATCTTCAGTTGTTGTAGCTGTTGGTGATGAACTATTATTTGAACCACCACGATTACGTACAATTCTATAATAACATGAACACAAAAACAAAATAATCTTTTTTTTGTTTTTTTTTCATTTCCATATTAATTTATACTAATGAACTTTGACACATATATCATACGACTTCTTTTAAGATTTAATTGAGTAGAAAATTTTTGAGTTTGAACAAACATAATAGATTGTCTATTGGGATTACTAGATACGACAACATATGATCATATCATTTTTTATTCGAAAGATAATCAATTTAATTGAAAAAACAAAATCTTACATTAATTAATAGTTGTTGTTTATATTCGTTGATTAATTAATTCATTTATATAATAAAATATTTAGAAAAATTATTTCTCTCATCCCGATTCCAAAAATAGATTTCTTTTTCTTTTCAAAATCAAAATCAATTGATTATTCACCCACCTGTTTCTTTATTGTATGATTATGAAGCGAAAAAAAGAAAGTGTAATTTTAATTTTCTTCAATCAAATAGATCGTCGCGAGTCATTAGTTACATGACAATCGAAATTATACTTTTGTTTGATGAGAGATTTATGAAGTACGATATAAAATTTCGATTAATCTTATGTGATTTTTATTCAGAAGTGAGCTTTGCAGTCTTGCCTCCCTCCCCCCCCCCCTCCCCCCCCCCCCCGCCCCACCGCCCCCTTGCCCACTCCCCTGCTCCCTACTTCAACCCACCGTAATCACTCCGCCTC